GTCGATGAGCCAGTATGGGAAGGAGTGAAAATAAGGACTGTGAGACCACGTAGATCCAATCACCGGTTCTGTAATTACCTGTCTGCTGGGTGACCAGATCAGGCCACTGAACCGCTTTGATCCTTTGTGCTCATCTTTGAAAATGAAAGGGTTTGGCAGAACGGCTTGTGCCTAAAGATCTTCGACAGTTTCTACATTAAACTGAAAGTAACCCTATAGTTCTACTAGTGGTCCCCACTTTTTTTTTTTTTTTTTTTTGAGTTGGAGTCTCACTTGGTCACCCAGACTGGAGTGCAGTGACCGCTCCCGGCCACCGCAGCCTCGCCTGCTGGGCTCCGGCGATCCTTCCACCTCAGCCTTCCGAGTAGCTGGAATTACAGGCATGCGCTACCACGCCCCGCTGATTTTTTTGTTTTATTGTAGAGATGAGGTCTCGCTGCCCAGGCGGGTCTCGAACCCTCGGGCTCAGGCAATCCACTCACCTCAGCCTCCCAAAGGCGCGGGATTACAGGCTGAGCCACCGAGCCCAGCTCGGTCCCCACTTTTTAGGCATCTCAGAAAGAATGGTTGGGAGTTGGCCTGAGAATATGGGATTGGCAGTGAAGGAGGGAGAATGTCATATTCTCTGATAATGTAGGAAAAAGAAAAACATTTTTAAAAATTTAAAAATAAGGGGGCAAACTTTTGAGCACATACTTTGTAACTGGCACTCATGTTTCACTATATTAATCTTTGATGCCACGATCCTATGAACAAGATATTGTTGGGCTGGGCACGGTGGCTCAAGCCTGTAATCCCAGCATTTTGGGAGGCTGAGGAGAGAGGATTGCTTGGGCTCAGGGGTTCGAGACCAGCCTGGGAAACTTGGCGAGATCTCGTCTCTGCAATCAATCAAAAAATAAGCCAGGCATGGTAGCGCACACCTGTAGTTCCAGTTATTTGGAAGCAGGCGCTGTGAGCCTGCCACTGCCCTCCAGCCTGGGGTCACAGTGAGACTCTGACTAAAAAATATATATATATATTGTTAATTCTATTTTAGAGGTGAACATGTAAAAACTTGTGTAGTCAAGTTATAAGTACTTCATTGTTAAAAAGGAAAGAAAAAGAGCCTCAAGAAAGAAGTAGAGCCAGGTGCAATGGCTCACACCTGTAATCCTGGCACTTTAAAAGGCTGAGGTGAGGCCAGGCGTGGTCTCAAGCCTGTAATCCCAAAACTTGGGGAGGCCAAGGCAAAAGGATTGCCTGAGCTCAGGGGTTTAAGACCAGCCTGGGCAACTTGGTGAGATCTTGTCTCTATAATAAATCAAACAATAAGCTGGGTGTGGCAGCACACGCCTGTAGTTCCAGTTACTTGGAAGGCTGAAGCGGAAGGATCACCTGAGCCCAGCAGGTAGAGGCTGCGGTGACCATGAGCATGCCACTGCCCTCCAGCCTGGGTGACAGAGTGAGACTCCAACTCAAAACAAAGAAAGAACGAAAAGAAAAAGGACAAAGTGAGAGGATTGCTTGAGACCAGGAGTTTGAGACCAGCCTAGGCAGCATAGCAAGCCTTCATCTTTACAAAAAATACAAAAAAGAGCCGGACATGGTGGTGTGTGCCTGTAGTGCCAGCTACTCAGGTGACTGCAGTGGATTGCTTGAGTCCAGGAGGTTGAGGCCACGGTGAATAAATCTCCAGAAAATCTCCAGGGTACTCCTAGCATTGAAGCCTTTGCCACGTGGTTGTTAAGAATGCCTGGCTTGGCCAGGCTCAGTGGCTCAGCCTGTAATCCCATGCTTTGGGAGCCCGAGGTGAGTGGATTGCCTGAACCCGTGGGTTCGAGACCTGCCTGGGCAACTTGGCGAGACCTCATCTCTACAATAAATCAAACAAATTAGCCGGGCGTGGTAGTGCACACCTGTAGTTCCAGCTACTCTGAAGGCTGAGGCGGAAGGATCGCCAGAGCCCAGCAGGTTGAGGTTGCAGTGGCCGGGAGCAGCCACTGGACTCCAGTCTGGGCAACAGAGTGAGACTCCAACTCAAAAAAAAAAAAAAAAAAAAGAATGCCTGGCTCTAGGTTTCATATCAATTACCTCTTTTTCTTTCTTCTGGATAAACTTTAAATTATACATGCTTTTTAAAGCCAAAAAAAATTGAGAAAACAGTACTGTTTGAGAAATTATAACAAGGAGTGGGAAGGAAAAACACTGCAGCATCAGGCTGAGGAAACTTCCCCTCTCCTACATTGCTGTGATAGTCAGTTTTTCTGGCCCACACCCCACCTCCAGTCCCCTTGGCTCAGCCTGTAATCCTACGCCTTTGGGAGGCTGAGGTGAGTGGACTGCCTGAGCCCGCGGGTTCGAGACCCGCCTGGGCAACTTGGCGAGACCTCATCTCTACAATAAATAAAAAAATTAGCCAGGCATGGTAGCGCGTACCTGTAGTTCCAGCTCCTTGGAAGTCTGGGCAACAGAGTGAGACTCCAACTCAAAATAAATAAATAAATAAAAGTACCTGTTCTTCCAGCTTGGGGAAACTGAACTCTGATCCTTCTAAACATGGAATCCAATAGAAATCAGATTCTGAAATTAGTCGAATTAAAGTTCTGGAAAATCTCTTGGGGTTCTTTTTTTCTCTGATTTATTGTAGAGACGATATCTTGCCAAGTTGCCCAGGCTGGTCTTGAACCCCTGGACTCAGGCAATTCTCATGCTGGGATTATAGGCATGAGCCACTGTGCCTGGCCTCTTGGGGTTCTAGAACCTAGACAGCAATTAAACTTGTAAGTGGGATTCTGCCTTGAGAATCAGCCTAAAAGGAAAGACAAAATTCAGGTGACTCTCCTCTTGTCAGGAAATGGTCAAGGAATATACAAGTGTAGGTTTCCAGGCTAGTCCACAGACTTAAGAGATGCATCAACTAGAGTACCGAAGACTCTGAACACGGTGTGTAGCTGACTGATTCAAGGAAGTCATCATTTCCAGTGGATCTTTTTCTGCTACCCCAGCAGCAGTAAGATTTGGCACCCTATTACTATTACCATGTCTACTTCCCTAGCAATTGAGACAGCAATGCTCTTTGCTTCAAGCCATTAGAGAAGTATTTTAAATTATAGATTTGGAAGGAGGGAAGGAGTGAATCCAGAACTGATGGTGGTAGTAATTGATGGTGAAGAAGTTTCCAGAGAGAAGTGAAGTTAAGGGTCTTTGAAGTGTTGATACACTATGCAGCTAAGGTGAAAGTCTGGGTGAATCCTCAGTCAGAGCTTGTATAGATAAACGTTTGAGAAAACTAAAGTTTGACCGGTTTGACTAGTTTAGGGAGGTGATTCATTAGGGAGTTGTATTTGAATGTGAAAGTAGTTCTCCCCAACCTGAACACACAAACACACAAGTATTGTTAAAGCACTATCTTTGTATCATCAGTTTAGATCAGCAATTTTATAGAATAAACAACTGAATACCCTTGGATTCCAGGAATAGGTGTGTTGATGATGGACAGCTGTGTATGTACACACCTGCATGTGAAGAATGACAATTCAGCAAAATGTTCAAAAACAAGATTCCTTCCCTTCATCAAAAATCGCCTCCTCCCACTTGTGCTTAACGTCCCTCACATTTTCATTTCAGGCGCCTAACAAAGGGTCTTGCATCCACACAAAGGATGAAAAAAAAGGTCAAAGTAAATTACTAAATGTAATGGTATTTGTAATGTAATGTGATGGTAAATGTAATGATATTTAAAACAGAAGGGAGGGGAATCCGCAGGAAGTTGGAATCTAGAATAAAAAACTAACTGGAAAGATTGAGTGTATGACAAATAAATTGAGATTTTAGAGGAATAGTAGCCAGAACCTGGGTCCCAACTACTCCTGCTTCCGCCATCACCCCACACAGTTTGCTTAAAACGGGCCACCTGCCAAAGAGCTGCGGTATGGTGTTAAAGAGGACTGAACATCTCCACCATCCTCACAGGCTCACCATCCTCCACATTTGACCTAAAAACAGTGGACAGCCTAGAGATTGCAGGGACAGATAGCAGAACTTACTGGGGGCTCTGAGGTTAACCCTAGCCCTACCAACCATCTAGTACTGAACCAGAAGACGAGGAGGAAGCAGAAAAGAGGTGATTCTGACCCCAAGCAAGGAAGGGTGAGGGAAAGGGAGTAGCCAAAAAGGCCTTAAAAAAGTCAACAATCTATGGAAAATTTTTTCTTACTAACCCTCGGTTCCAGCAAAGGGGAGAGGCTGCGGGCGGAGACAGGGGCGTGGCGGACCTAGCCATCCCTTCACCCCAGTGCGTTTCTCCCTCCCTCGGTGAGGCCCTTCCCTTGCTAATAACTGCCTGTTAAACGACTGGTTTTCTTTCGAAAATTCAAAGCCCCCCATCCATGTAAGCGAAGATTGTGTCAAAACCTATATTGCATTATCTCTGTTCTTTTCGTTCCCATTATAAATTTAAGATGGAAAAAAACGTCTCGGAGGGCCAGGACGTTCCTTAGGCAGCCCAGTCCTTCTGGACCTTCGGCAAGAGGACCCAAAGATGGGCCGTCCATCACAGCTACGGCCCAATCAGAGTCGCCGTGGCCCCTCGATGACCCTCCTCCTTCAAGAAACACGGGAACTTTGTGTTCCATGTGTCCCCACATTCATGCGACAAATCTCCCATCGCCTTACAATTACAAGCTTAGTTGGACCCTTCCTGTCAATTTCACCTACTACGGGGCTAGCTGCCAGTGTCGCCATGGAACGGAGTCAAAAATCACCTTCCCACTGCCACCCCCCTTCCTCTCAGGGCCCCTGTCCCTTCCAGTGAATCCCAGAAGAGTCTGGAGAGTTCGGCGGAGGGCGGGACCCTGGCCTCTGATTGGTCCAATGAAGCACGGGGGCAGGACCGGAGGCGAAACCCCTGGAATATTCCCGACCTGGCAGCCTCGACGAGCTCGTTGATTGGCTGAGAAGGGAAAAGGCGGGGTCTGACCTTGAGTTATAAAAGGGGTTGAGCGCGCAGTTTTGGGAACAGCGAGCCCCAGGGGGTCTGCGACCGAAGTCCCGTTTCCCGAGAGCGAGTCGCGGCAGCACCCCGGCGAATCTGCGCGGTACCGACTCCGGCGAGTTCAGTTTCCAGCTTTCAGAAGGGACCGAGCGCCTGTTGCTGATCCCGTCCGCCGTTCTCCGGCCCGCGTCTGAGAGCAGAACCCGGGAGCAGGGCACCGACATGGCCAAAACCACGGCGATCGGCATCGACCTGGGCACCACCTACTCCTGCGTGGGGGTGTTCCAGCACGGCAAGGTGGAGATCATCGCCAACGACCAGGGCAACCGCACCACGCCCAGCTACGTGGCCTTCACGGACACCGAGCGGCTCATCGGGGATGCGGCCAAGAACCAGGTGGCGCTGAACCCGCAGAACACCGTGTTTGACGCGAAGCGCTTGATCGGCCGCAAGTTCGGCGACCCGGTGGTGCAGTCGGACATGAAGCACTGGCCCTTCCAGGTGATCAACGACGGTGACAAGCCCAAGGTGCAGGTGAGCTACAAGGGGGAGACCAAGGCGTTCTACCCCGAGGAGATCTCGTCCATGGTGCTGACCAAGATGAAGGAGATCGCCGAGGCGTACCTGGGCTACCCGGTGACCAACGCGGTGATCACCGTGCCGGCCTACTTCAACGACTCGCAGCGCCAGGCCACCAAGGATGCGGGGGTGATCGCGGGGCTCAACGTGCTGCGGATCATCAACGAGCCCACGGCCGCCGCCATCGCCTACGGGCTGGACAGGACGGGCAAGGGGGAGCGCAACGTGCTCATCTTTGACCTGGGCGGGGGCACCTTCGACGTGTCCATCCTGACGATCGACGACGGCATCTTCGAGGTGAAGGCCACGGCCGGGGACACCCACCTGGGCGGGGAGGACTTCGACAACCGGCTGGTGAGCCACTTCGTGGAGGAGTTCAAGAGGAAGCACAAGAAGGACATCAGCCCGAACAAGCGGGCCGTGAGGCGACTGCGCACCGCCTGCGAGAGGGCCAAGAGGACCCTGTCGTCCAGCACCCAGGCCAGCCTGGAGATCGACTCCCTGTTCGAGGGCATCGACTTCTACACGTCCATCACCAGGGCGAGGTTCGAGGAGCTGTGCTCCGACCTGTTCCGGGGCACCCTGGAGCCCGTGGAGAAGGCCCTGCGCGACGCCAAGCTGGACAAGGCCCAGATCCACGACCTGGTCCTGGTGGGCGGCTCCACCCGCATCCCCAAGGTGCAGAAGCTGCTGCAGGACTTCTTCAACGGGCGCGACCTCAACAAGAGCATCAACCCCGACGAGGCGGTGGCGTACGGCGCGGCGGTGCAGGCAGCCATCCTGATGGGGGACAAGTCCGAGAACGTGCAGGACCTGCTGCTGCTGGACGTGGCGCCCCTGTCGCTGGGGCTGGAGACGGCCGGCGGCGTGATGACCGCCCTGATCAAGCGCAACTCCACCATCCCCACCAAGCAGACGCAGATCTTCACCACTTACTCCGACAACCAGCCCGGCGTGCTGATCCAGGTGTACGAGGGCGAGAGGGCCATGACCAAGGACAACAACCTGCTGGGGCGCTTCGAGCTGAGCGGCATCCCCCCGGCCCCCAGGGGCGTGCCCCAGATCGAGGTGACCTTTGACATCGACGCCAATGGCATCCTGAACGTCACGGCCACGGACAAGAGCACAGGCAAGGCCAACAAGATCACCATCACCAACGACAAGGGCCGCCTGAGCAAGGAGGAGATCGAGCGCATGGTGCAGGAGGCGGAGAAGTACAAAGCGGAGGACGAGGTGCAGCGCGAGAGGGTTTCGGCCAAGAATGCCCTGGAGTCGTACGCCTTCAACATGAAGAGCGCCGTGGAGGATGAGGGGCTCAAGGGCAAGATCAGCGAGGCGGACAAGAAGAAGGTGCTGGACAAGTGCCAGGAGGTCATTTCCTGGCTGGACGCCAACACCCTGGCTGAGAAGGACGAGTTTGAGCACAAGAGGAAGGAGCTGGAGCAGGTGTGTAACCCCATCATCAGCGGACTGTACCAGGGTGCGGGTGGCCCTGGGCCTGGCGGTTTCGGGGCTCAGGGCCCCAAGGGGGGCCCTGGGTCTGGACCCACTATTGAGGAGGTGGATTAGGGGGCTCTTCTTTCACCCTCCTACTCCACATTTGTCACTGAGGCAGACTGGTTGGACACAAGGACCTTGCTATTGCCCTATAGTTTTTCTTCTACTACTTGACATGTTTGCAAAGTTAAGTTGTATTCTGATGGTAATTAACTGGCTTCATTTTTCTGCAGTATAATCAATATGTTCATTAGAATTTTTTGTGTTTAGTATAAGTTGGTAGTACTGTATAAGGGTGTTTTTTTTCCTGCTCCAACGAATGAACACTGCCACCTTCTGTACAGTTTTTTGCTTTGCAAAACACGCTCCAAAATCAAAGAATGTTTTTTATAGTTTGTTTACTTCAGTATGAAAAATAAAATATGAAAAATGTATTTGTCTATTTTTATTTGGGGGGAGGGATAATGGACTCTTTTTGGTAAGTCTGAATTCCATAGGTCTTTTTTTGACTGAAACGTAGAGTACTTCTGAAGTGGGCTACAATTCAAGAGTCATGACTATAAATATATTTAAGGGCTTAATTGTGAGTGTTAGGAGGAGAAATTGCAGGTATTCATTTTGTTTGCAGTGGGGCTTGTTTCAGGTAAAAGTTATGGTTGGTAGCTCAAAATAATTTTAGAAAGGAGTGGTTGGTGTGGTTAGCTAGGAAGGAAGGGGAGAGGCAGTACAGAGGGGATTTTAGTTGCTTACTCCTTCCTGCACTTATGGTGAGCAGGGCCCTTGAGCTTAATTTCTCATTCCTGGCCACAGAAGGACATTAACCCATGTTCACTTAATGTGGAATCTAAAACAGTAGAACTCATAGAAGCAGAGAGAAGAATGGTGGTTACCAGAGGCTTGGGTTTGGGGGAATGGGAGATGATGGGCCAAGAATACAAAGCCTGTCAGGAAGAGTACATTTTCTTCTGAGATCTATTGCATAATGTGGTGAATATAGTTAACAGGATATTGCAGGTTCACATGATGGTTCTGCAAATCCCAACTTGTTGACCAAATCAAATTATTTAGCCTCACTTAGCTTTTGTGGCCTCTTTTTTTTTTTTGAGTTGGAGTCTTACTTTGTAGCCCAGGATGGAGTGCAGGGGCATGTTCACTGCCACTGCAGCCTCAACCTGCTGGGCTCCGATGATCCTTCTGCCTCAGCCTTCCAAGTAGCTAGAACTACAGGTGTGCTAATTTTTTTTTTTTTAGTTGTAGAGACAAGGACTGGCCATGTTGCCCAGGCTGGTCTTCAACCCTCGGACTCAGGCAGTCCTCTCGCCTCTGCCTCTCAAAGTGCTGGGATTATAGGCGAGAGCCACAGTGCCCAGCCTGTTGCCTCCTTTTAAAATAAAGCATTTTGTCTGAATGACCTTGCTTCTAAAAATATTTTGAGGCCGGGTTCGGTGGCTCAGCCTTTAATCCCAGCACTTTGGGAGGCCAAGGTGAGAGGATTGCCTGAGCCTGAGGGTTCAAGACCCGCCCAGGGAACTTGGTGAGCCCGCTCTCTACAATAAATAAAAAATTAGCCAGACGTGGTAGCATGCGCCTGTAGTTCCAGCTACTTGGAAGGTTGAGGCGGAAGGATCGTTGGAGCCCAGCAGGTCAAGGCTGTGGTGGTCAGGAGTGTGCCACTGCCCTCCAGCCTGGGTGACAGAGTGAGACTCCAACTCAAAAAAATTTTTTATTTTGAGTTCTAAGATCATTTTGAGCAGAAATGTAAACAACCAACAGCTTCAGCTATGGTCACCCTAGCTGCAATTATCCAGGTTAGAATCTGGAGGAATAAGATACTGAGAGTTTGGGTACATATCAGTAAAGGAGGAATAGGCCAGGTCCTTATTGTACTAGGTTCTGTTGGTCACCTTTGTAATCCTCATCCCACCACCCTCTACATACTAAAACATTTTTTTCAGTTTAGCATGTGGAAGTGGTCACTACCGCTGCATCCAGGCCAAGATTGGAGAGCAGCAAATGACAGTTTGGGACTAAACATTGTTGCCACATAGCTCTGGTTGTAAGTGATGGCTTTTCATATATATATATTATTTTAAAGATGTAGAGTACAATTCAGGATTAGGTATATAAGTGGTCATCGTACAGGTAAAGTTTGGGCCTTCCTTTGATCCTTAATTGGCCTGGTTTTAGATCAGGTGCCCTTATTGATGTTGTCCTCCCCACCCTCCAGTGATGGTTTTCCCCCAGATTTAACAATCAGTAGCCACTTTATTCTTTCTTATGGATACTTTAAAAAGAGCAAGTTTAATTGTGAGGGAAGAGAAGGAGAAAAAAGCTGCACAGTATGGAACTGGCAACCAGGCTTGGGAGGCTGAGGTGAGTGGGTTGCCTGAGCCCGCGGATTCGAGACCCGCCTGGGCGACTTGGTGAGACCTCATCTCTACAATAAATCAAAAAATTAGCCGGGTGTGGTAGCATGCGCCTGTAGTTCCAGCTACTTGGAAGGCTGAGGCGGAAGGATAGCCGGAGCCCAGCAGGTCGAGGCTGCAGTGGCCGGGAGCGGTCACTGCACTCCAGTCTGGGTGACAGAGTGAGACTCCAACTCAAAAAAAAAAAAGAAAAAAAGAACTGGCCTGCCTTCATCCCACACAAGTCTTTTCCTAGGATATTCTTTCTTACTACTGTAGCAGTTAGGTATTCTTTTTTTTTTTCTGAGTTGGAGTTTAGCTGTGTTGACAGGCTGGAGTACAGTGGCATGATCACCGCTCACTTTCTGTACCTCTAAAGCTAAGTGATCTGCTTTAGCCTACTGAGTATCTGGGAATAGCTGGAACCACAGGCACGCACCACCACACTCGGCTAATTTTTTGATTTTGTTTTTTTTTGTTTTTGGTAGAGACTAGGTTTTGCTCTGTTGCCTCGGCTGATCTCAAACCCCAGGGCTCAAAGAATCCTCCCACCTTGGTCTCCCAAAGTGGGAATTACAGGCAAGAGCCACTGTGCCGAGCCCAAAATCAGTCTGTTAAAGTTCCTTGTTACACCTTTCACTTAATCCTTACCCTGTAGGAAAATCAAACATTTAGTAATGGCAAAGTACAGGAAGTCCTCCCTCAAGTGTTATAAAGGAAAATGAACACAGGAAGTTTCTTTGGTCCCTGAGCCGATTTTTTTTCTTCCTTGCATAGCCCTCTCTCCTTAGTGCGCCTGGGCCATGACCTGTGCCCTGATTCGCTGGGTTCTTAAAAGGCAGTTTTATTCATTAGAGAGGTTGAACTACAATACCATAGCCCCCAACTATAACATATAGCAAATATAGTCTAACTGCCACAGCAGCAGGTATTTGGGCTTTCTGTACTGTTTTTGAGTTGGAGTCTTACTCTGTCACCCAGGCTGGAGGACAGTGGCATGCTCCCAGCCACCGCAGCCTCTACCTGCTGGGCTCAAGTGGTCCTTCCACCTCAGTTTTCCATGTAGCTGGAACTACGGGCACGCGCCACAATGACCGGCTAATTTTTTGATTTATTGTAGAGATGAGGTCTTGCCACATTGCCCAGGCTGGTCTCAAACCCACGGGCTCAGGCAATCCTCACACCTCGGCCTCCCAAAGTGCTGGGAGTGCTGGGATTATAGGCGTGAGCCACCCTGCTGGCTTTTTTTTTTAACCCACAAGACAGTAGAGGGAACAAATCTTAAACTTCAAGCAGTGGTTCTACACCCTAATGGTATAATAAAATCATTTGGGGAAGCTAAAAATTTAGGGATGCCAGGTCTCTCCCAGGTCATTTCAGAGTCTCTGACTGGACAGTGTATACATTTGAAGCTATTCAGGTGATTGTAACGTCCAAAGTTGAGAAAAACCACTGAGCCAAGGGCTACTCCTGATTTTATTTTTTATTTTTATTTATTTATTTATTTATTTTGAGTTGGAGTCTCGCTCTGTCACCCAGACTGGGGTGCAGTGGCCGCTGCTGGCCACCGCAGCCTCGATCTGCTGGACTCCGGTGATCCTTCCGCCTGAGACTTCCAAGTAGCCGGAATTACAGGCATGCGCTACCACGCCCGGCTGATTTTTTGATTTATTGTAGAGATGAGGTCTCGCTGCCCAGGCGGGTCTAGAACTTGCGGGCTCAGGCAATCCACTCACCTCAGCCTCCCAAAGGCGCAGGATTACAGGCTGAGCCACCGAGCCCGCCCTGATTTTATTTTTTAGAAGGATAGGAATATGGGAGAGGGAAGACAGGAAGGTGTCAGAGCATCCAGAAACAGCAGCAGGTGGTTAAGAGGCTTTCTCTTGTGAAGTGGAGCATGAAGGTGTGAAAGCCCTTAAAGGGTTGATTCACTAGCAACAGCTGGAATGATAAAATTTAAGAAAATCTCCAGCAAGTTTAATGACCAAAAAAAAAAAAAAAATTCCTGAGGCTGAACCAATTATATTCAAGACGCCCTCATTAGGAAGTGGTTCATTAGGAATCAGAAGAGCCTAGTTTGATGGCTCAGCCTGTAATCCCAGTACTTTGGGAGGCCCAGGCGAGAGGACTGCCTGAGCCAGCAGGTTCGAGACCAGCCTGGGCAAATTGGCGAGACCTCATCTCTACAATAAATTAAAAAATTAGCCGGGCATGGTGGCACGCGCCCGTAGTTCCAGCTCCTTGGACGGCTGAGGCGGAAGGATCGCCTGAGCCTAGCAGGTCGAGGCTGCGGTGGTCGTGAGCGTGCCACTGCCCTCCAGCCTGGGCGACAGAGTGAGATTCTGATTTAAAAAATAACAACAGAAAAGGAAGACACAGCTTAAAGTCCCTGACAGTCTGCGGGCTCCAGTAAGGGAGGAAATTCAGATCTCGCTAACTGAACGGCGAGGAGAGAAGCCCCGGAGGAGGGCTGGACTCCCAAACCCGGACTAGACTGCACGAAGTCAGGGTCCTTAAGGACGACTGGAGTGACGGAAGGGCTAAGGAAGAAAGCCTTTCTCCCACGGGTTCACTGGCGCCGGGGGCTTTCTCCCGCCTGGCCAGCCAGTTCACCTGTTGTTTTTCATAATTCACAAAACACCTCCGAATATTTGGCCAGAGGAGTGTAACTCATACTTTCATGGTCTTTCTTTCACTTTGTTTCATTCCTATTTTGAAGAACGATAGGGAAAATGCCGCACGTGGAGTCAGGCAGAGAAGAAGACAGCCATACCCGTCAGGCCCCCGACCCGGCGTAGCTATAAATAACCCTGGCCCCGCCATTGTTTCTTTCTTTTGGCGGTAGGGTTGCTGATGGAGCAGGTGGCCTGCGTGTTGTTCGCCTGACGTTTGATGCAGGACCTCCTGCTGAGCGAGGGGAAGGGGCAGGAGCCTTCTGCTGCCTTTTCGCAGCAGCTGGCGTGCACGTACCTCAGGGCCCTTGCTGGAGGAGACCGCAGTCCCGGGCAGTGTCGAGTGAACTGCCGTTA